ACAATTCTCTTTTTAAAAAGCATTTCTTGAAACCAAGGGCTAAAAGAAAGAAATCAAAGCTGTAGAGAATGCTCCAACTTCAGAGGACTCATACTATACCGTGAATCGTGTCTGTCACCTGGAAACCAGAGTGCTCCAGGCACGATCGCATGGACAGCCTGCGGCAGAGAACACATGCACAGACAGCTAAAGTAGTACATTCCCCCCAAGTGCCCTTCACGCCACCCAACACAAAGACATTCCTTCCCCGGACGGGTGGGCTGCAGTCACACCATCGTTCCAGGGACCAGAAATCTGTATTGGCTTCATGCTATAAATCCCAAACATTTAAGACCAGCAAGACAAAGACACTTTGCATTTGTCAAAATTAGACACAGTAGTCTGCCATTTATTTAGTTATGAAAAGAAGGCACCAAAGCAGGTATGGAAGGGCCGCAGATAGTGATTTGGCGACTATCGAGTATTAACTGAAGAAATACTAGGTTAGACCAAATGGGAACACATAATACGAGAACGATGTGTTACTTCTGGGAGGGAAGTTGACTACCTTTGGAATAGATAAAATTACACCACATTTAAAGTCCAAGGGGATTTTTTTTAAAATGCAGAGTAAACAAAACAACTTAAACTCATGACGATCCTAACACGATGAGGAAAAAATGCACAGAGTTCACAGTACTCAGTTACCAGGGACATGTGCTCTCCCCAGGCTCTTGGGACAAAGCAGGGCTCTTCGTGAGGGAGCATGAATTAGACGGTCTCTGCAATGTTTGTAAGCAATTTCTCAGTCGCTGATAGTTCAGTATGAGCTACCTATGGGCTGTTCCCATATTGTCTGGTTCCCTTATGTTAGGGTGCTTTAATTTATATTTAAACTGGGATTAAGAGCAAACAGGGAAGATGACATTTTGCTTTCTGGATTTAAAACAGACCATGTCCCAGACTGCACTCTTTTGAGTCATGAATACATATCTGCGTTGTGCTTTGATGCCTTTAATTTTATTATGGTTAGTACTCAAACAAGCACTAATATTAGCCTTCTATTGCTCAAAGAACACACAAAAACATTTTCCCAGACAACACTTGAGAGATCTTTGATGTGTTTTATAGACATTCATGCCTGTGAGACCGTTCAAAACGGTGAGGCCAAATCTCTCCATTCATGCACAGAAGGAACTGGCTCAACACAGAGTCACTGTTCTGACAGAGGAAGGGACAAAGCAATCCTCTGAGACTTGCGCCAACGGGCACAGGTTACATTGAATGAACAATACGTACTGACATTTGTGTCTTCCACAATTCATGATAAATAAGCAAACGGGTTATTTGTAATCAGCCAAACTTGCTGCTTTGATAAGTCTGCTACTGGACGTTGCGGAGCTCATGTTCCTTCCCATATCAGAAAGGAAAAAAACCAAGTTACATTTATAGCTTGCATTATCATTTCAAGCTCTCTTCTAGCAATCACATCTCTTTCCACGTGGCAAAGTCTGAACTAGTACTTCTCACCTTCTCGAAACTGTCCTACTGTGCCTAGGGGTGATTCTGCAGGGGAATTCTGCATCCGTCATCTGTGCAACTAAAGAAACTAACCCTCCCCGTTAAAATGAAGGCTGGGCCATGTGAAACAGACCCTGATCGGCAGGTACTTCTTTAAGATCAGACGGGTATTTTGATGTTTATAGTGTTGTACGTTGTAACGGGCTGGGAGAGAACGAAGTTCAGGGACAGAAACTGCCGGCAGTATCTCACTGCCACGGCCTCAGCCAAAAGCTGAGCAACATCTAATTATCTTCAACCAAGTCACTTGTAAAGGATTGTAAATGTAAATCAAAGAAATATTTCTCGTTAACATTTGATCCTCAGAGGTAAGGGAAAGAAAGGACAGAACTCGACTACTCTAGCGTGTCATTAAGCAAAACAGCAAGACCGTCTGAGAAGATACACAGGTCTATCATTACCCGTAGTTGTCCGTTAACATTTTTTAAAGAAGGAGCTTATCCTGACCCACCCTAAAGCATGCTATAGCGGCATTTATACGGCCGCTTTCGGGGATCCCAGTTTATCTGGACAGTGCACATACATGCATAGGGACATGTGTGCTTTCCCCACAGGGAGAGTACAGACGGAGAAAGCATAACATCTGAGTGGTATTATGTTTCTGTTTTTAATCCATTCATTTATGAAAGTAACGGGATTTATTATTTGGGCGGGCTCTAGATGTGCTCAGCCACATCTCTCAATGCATGCAAATCCTAACAAATCACTATCACTCTGGCAACTTTTTTTTGTTGTGGTGGTGCGAACAGAAGTCTTATGGCAGACTCTGTCTGTCCCTCTGCTGTAGGCCAGATTCATTCCAAAGAGCTGGTCAGCAATACGAGTGAACTCACACCCAGCAACAAAAATCACAGATCCTTTAAATCGGACTTGGGAATATCTGAAAAGGCACTGAAGTCTGTGGTGAGATCCCCGGCCCAGCGCTGGGAAAGCTCAGCTTTGCCGGCACCTGCTGGCAGGGGCCACCTGGCTCGTGCCTTATGGACTCCATGTCTGCAGTGACGGCCTTCTCTCTCCTGCGGCCACTTCTCAGAGCGCCCCAGTCTGGTTCCCCTCCGCCTGCTGTCAAGGTATTCAAATGACCCACAGTTTACAATGGCCATTCATGCCTAAAATTCCACCCGGCAACCAGTGCCCCTGCCGAGACCTGAAGAACAAAAACCTCAACCAAAAACCTCTCCAAAACATTTCCATTTGAGGCTGTAGGTCTCATATTTTTACTAAGTTGGAACTGCACAAAAAAAGTGTTCTTGAACTAAGGACTCAACCCACCAAGTATTTATACTAAAACAGATTCCCTCCTCTAAAGTGAAGGAACAGCTTTTTTCCAGCAAAAATGAGACCGCTGTCCAGTAAGTCAATCGTGAGCCTGGAGAACCCGCGGACTGTCCAGTTAGTAAGCTGCTCGTCTCCCGGCAGAGTTTCCGCCCTGCTCGGCGGAGGCAGATTCGGGAATGGCAACTGACATTTGCCTAATAAAAATATAATTAAGAAGCTAAATGTAGAGTGCCCCCATATGAATTAGACCTAGATGTAAAAACATATTCCATTCTATTAGTTTGGCAAGAATTAATTCCACTTTAAGTGCCTTTAATTATTCTGTTTATTTTTGAGTTACCTAAAAATAAACAGGGACATAGAAATGCTAAAACAAATCCTATTTCCAGGCATTTTTATTACTTGTAAGTACTATAAGGCAGTAATTCTGGACCACTAAAATGCTGAAAAGGACAAAATACTAACTACTGATAGTGAACCTTTATTAGGGGGAGAGTTAACTGCTCAGGGCCAGGCCGTGCCATCAACGGCTTCGCTAAGTTACCCTCCAGTAACACAGCACGTTCTAGAGCTGTGCTGTTCAGTGCGGCAGCCACCAGGACATGCGACCATTTCAATGTAAGTTAATTAAAAGTAATTAAAATTTAAAATCCCTACCCTCGGTCACACTCGCCACACTTCAAATGTCTGATAGCCCCCTATGGCTGGTGACCAGCACCCCAAACAGCACAGATCCAGAGCAGACAGAATCTGGCGCCTAGTTTAGCCTGGCCCCTGGAGGGGCACATAGTGCACGTTTAAAATGCCCCTAGTTAAAGTTATGAATACAAACGAAAGCCTCATAAATCAGATTTAAACAATAGTCTGTATCACGTGCAATTCCAGCCGCTGGTTATTAAAGTATTTTAAAAGTGTTGCCCACATGAAAGCACACAAATGAGCAGAAATGGGACTAATGGTTAGAGGATGTAAAAGTCCTCAAAGATAAAATGGCTCAAGCCTGAGCTCACTGAAAGTACCAAAAGGACATTAACTGGGTTTTTCAAAAACTGTGCTTTGAAAGCGCAACTTGATTAAATGAAAAACCCAACTGCGTGGCCAACACAAGAACCCTGTCGCTTGAGTACCATTGCTAAGGGGTCAGAGTCAGGGTCAGCTGTGTGTTCCTCATCACAAAGTGGCCTCAGGTTTCCTGGGCAAAGGGCACATGGCTTCCAACACTCAGATCCTGAGCACTTCACAGCCTGGCAAGGCCAAGGAAAACTATCCAACAAAAAGGCTCAGTCACATTATGACACAGAGTGCCAGCTTTAACTTTGATATTTCTGAACATTAAAATCGAATTATCGTAGACATGGGCATAATCTGCCCTCAGACTGAGCTGAGACTAGTCTCTTAAAACATTAAGTCAGAAAACTATTCTCCATTTCATGAACATCAAAATGGGCCCTTCCGAAGAAGATTTAAATGGATATTAAAATTCTACCATAGAAAGATATCAAACAAACATTTGTATGTGTGGTCAGTAAAATGGTAAATTCATGGTATAAATAGAAAAAAAAAATCCAGATATTTGGGATCTCCTACAATTGATGAAGACAATTCAATAAATAAGGCACTTTAATTGAAAATTAGATTCAACTAATATATAAAAATTTAGAAAGATTATGAGTCTAACAAATTCAACATTTTAAAGAAATCTTAAAGGGAGGTAGTTAATAAATGCAGCTCCACTGAGATTATATTTTGTCCACGGGGCTCCCCTGTGCCCTGTAAAACCTTTATGGTCATGTTATTAAAAACAATACCTTTTCCACATTAAAATTTTACAACCTAGGTCTGAGCTAAAAATTTCAACGTGTGAAAATCCAAGCATCATAACCACTACTAAAGATTTAACCAACATCATACTTTTCTCTGGATATAAAGCTGAGAATATTTGTACTGTCTTACTAATAAATTATAAGCAAAAACAGGAATTCAGAACATAACAGGATATAAGCAAAAAACCCAGTTGTGCAGCCCAATTAAAATAAAAGCAATATGTAAAAATAGCTTTAATAACCACCACTACAGTATTTAAAATCTTCCCAGGTAATTTAGCAGAGAGGATGAAAACTGTTCACAGGGCCCTCCCGTCCCCACGCAGCCTACAGACTCACCATCTTTAAAATCGCCCCGTAGAGCCGCAGGAGCACTTTCCGAGGCTCGTCACCAATGGTGGCCACGGTGTCAGGAAAGGAGCACTGGAACAGCATGTTACTGAGGCCACCTCTGTTGGAAGTCAAAGGACAGTAAGCGTCAGTATGTTGAAGGTCAGCTAAACCGCCCTTCTTGGACAACTACGGATGAGACGTCAGGGTCCCACAGGAACTACTCCCATCGAAGTCTCGATCGACTCTCAGGATACCTGGGGTATACACGATGAGCTCCATGGTGTTTGGATCAATTCCAGAGTCACATTAAAAACAGGCAAATTCCCGGGGCGCCTGGGTGGCTCAGTCGTTAAGCATCTGCCTTCGGCTCAGGTCATGATCCCAGGACCCTGGGATCGAGCCCCACATCGGGCTCCCTGCTCTGCGGGAAGCCTGCTTCTCCCTCTCCCACTCCCCCTGCTTGTGTTCCTGCTCTCACTATCTCTCTCTCTTTGTGAAATAAATAAATAAAATCTTAAAAAAAAAAACAAACAAACAGGCAAATTCCCTATCTGTTCTTAGCTTAACACTGGAGGTGAGCTCTAAATTGCATGTGTGCATGTGCACAAGGTGCGCCTCCAGAGAACGAGGAGGACAGAAGAGGACCCTGCGCAACCCTGGGGGTGGGGGCATCCCAGATGCATTCTTTCAGGCTCATGTTCTTCTAGCATCCAAAACCTCCACGATGTTCCCATAGTAACCAGGTTAAAATCTTGGGGCAGTACTTAACCCACCTCCCCGAGGACCTTCCACTTGAAGTATATATAGCTCCATGTTATTAAAAACATCTCAATCAATTTTGACTAACAGCCTTTTCAAAAAACTTGCAACACTGACTGGTTCTTGGAGTACTCAGAGGAAATGACAGGAGATCTCAGTACCCTGAACCTTCCACTCTGATGAGGAGAGACAAGAAACAAGTTACAGGGGTCATTTGAACAGGAGAATAACTGCCTTTGGGACAAATCACCTGCCTGGGTTGGACACGATTAGGCAGAGAGAAAGGGTAGTTAATGGAGGAATCAGAGCTAAATGAAGGAATATGAGATACTGTACAGTCAGGAGCTCCAGACACGACGCACCTCATCTGCAGCAGACTTCAGAGTCCCTAAATCCTAATCTAGCCAGTGAATCTTCAGGAACTATAAGCCAAGCACTATGCTGGAAGCTAGGATAATACAAAATTGAACTATGCTCTGCCCTTGCTCTCAAGAAACAGCCTCTCTAATGAAGACAAAGAAGACAAATCACAGGACAGTCAGTGTCGGAGGCTACACACTCCACCAAACCAAGTCCACCCCTGACTGTCAGAGGCTTCAGCATCATAGGGCAGTAGGCACGCAACTCTGGGAGAGAAAGTGACCAGGAGGTCGAAACACAGCTTTCTAGAAGGACACCCCCCGGTCATAGGAGCCACCAGCTTTTCCCTGCCTCCTCCATAACCAGTCCAGTCTACTCAAGTCTCTGGATATAAAGTCCAGTCTCTGGATACAGAGCTGAGAAGGACACCCCCCGGTCACAGGAGCCACCTGTGAGACTAAAATACACACCAAATTCACACTATCAGGTACAGGGATGGTGTGACTGCACAGTGATTATGAGCACACACTGACAAGCACTGCCAAGAGCTACAAAATACAGACCGAGAGATTGTGTGGGGAGCAAAGAGAACAGGGAGAAATTTTTATCTGGAAGTTTGTTAATGTTGGTGTATTAACAGGAGATAACAATTCTGAAAATTCTGCTTCTGTGGCAGACATTCTCCTCCCTTTCCAGGTTTTATCCAGGCAGCAACGTGCCTAGCATGAAGACTATTTACCAGCTGCCTTTACGGGTAGGTGTGCCTGTGTGACCAGGCGCTGACAAATAGAATGTAAAAGGAAGTGTTTATGTGACTTTTGGAAGTCAACTTAAGACATCCTCATGGGCTTTGTCCCTTTCTTCCTGTCCTCTATCCTGTTGTCTGAAACAAGGAGAGGACAGTGTGTCAATCGCGAAGCTCTGGTCTCTGAGCAACAAGTCCACACTTCAGTTCTCGGTTGTGATGTTGGGCCGGGGGTTCCACCCGTTACAAATCTCCTTTGCCGGCTGCTCCCAGGTAGGGTCTGCCAGTGGGGGCCCTGGAGGGAGGCTGGAAGGCAGGAGGAAGGAGACAGTCTTGTTGTGTTGTGTCTGAGTGCTGGAGTAGCAACAAGGGAACCCCCACTTCTTTCACCAACCCAGAACCAGCCTCACAGCACCTTCTCCAAGATACCAGCTCAGAGGGCTGGGCCCCAGCTGCAGGGGGTGCTCCTCAAGATCTCAGATGCCAGCAACAGCCAAGCAGTGCCCTCTCCACAGGCGGCAGGGCCCAGATCCAGGGTCTGATAATCCCCACCTCTTCCCTTGGTCCCCCAGCCCAGGGAAGGGGCTGCTTCCTGCAGTTCTGTGAGCCACTGGGTCCCATTTCTCTCTAATGCCTATTCACCCAATTCCCTATATTAAATTCTCTATGTTGAAATGTCTAGTGTTGTTTCCACTTTCTTGCCAGTGTCTTGACCGGCACATATGGCCAGAACTTTAGCACCTTCTTAGATCATGAGAATGAGAGCCACAGCCTAGGAACGGCAGAGCAGTTGGTTGAAAGGAGCCCGCATCTCCATCGAGCCCATGCAGCTGCCATACCTGCCCAGCCTGTCTACTTCCAGGAGGGACATAAATTTCTGTGTTGTTTAAGCCACTGTTACTCTAGAGCTTCTGTTATAAGCAGCTAGATCTAGTACTAACAGATACAGCTTATCACAATCCACGTACTCATGCTCTCCCAATCTGCAAACTCCTCCTTACCCTTCTCTGCTACCTAAAAACTACCTACAGTTTAAGAACAAGTTCAGGGCGCCTGGGTGGCTCAGTTGGTTAAGCGACTGCCTTCGGCTCAGGTCATGATCCCGGAGTCCCTGGATCGAGTCCCACACCGGGCTCCCTGCTCGGCAGGGAGTCTGCTTCTCCCTCTGACCCTCCCCCTTCTCATGTGCTCTCTCTCATTCTCTCTCACACAAATAAATAAATAAAATCTTAAAAAAAAAAAAAAAAGAACAAGTTCAAAGTCCAACCTTCTCAAGAAGCTTTTGCCATCTTCCCTACTAGCTCCTTGAAGGCAAGGGGAATGCCTCACTACAATTCTCAAGGCCTAGTGACCCCAAATGGTGGGTGCTCAGTATAGCTTTTCTGAAGATGACAATAACCAGCAGCACTGCTGCCCCACTGAGTCTCTCTTCTCCAAACTCCCTCCTGTTATATTTGTCTTATTAGGTCTGCTGGGTTAGGTTTGGCTCCCTGATTAATTAGACCGTAAGCTCCCTAAGAGATAGTCCTGAGGGAAGGTATCACGATACAAGAAAGACCACTGGCTTCAGAGCCAGGGATTCAAATCCCAGTACTGCCACTTACTAGCTGTGTGATCTTAGGCATATCACTAAACCTTTCTGAGCCTCAAATTCACCCCTCTGTAAAAGAGTTGCACTTTCTTTAGTCATTTTATTTTTCTTGAGTGGGGGGAGGGGCAGAGGGAGAGGGAATCTTTTTTTTTTTTTTTTTTTGAGAAAAGGAGAGGGAGAGAGAATTCCATGCAGGCTCCATGCCCTGTGTGGGCAACGGGCTCCATCCCACGATCCTGACATCGTGACCTCAGCCGAAATCAAGGATCAGACTGATTCAACTGGGCCGAAGTCAAGATCAGACTTAACTGACTGAGCCACCCAGGTGCCCCTCTTTAGTCATTTTAAGAGCTCCCTGGGCTGCAGTGTTCAAAAGGTTAGCTCAGCCCCCCCGCCCCACTCCTGCAGGGCGGATGCTGATGCTGCCTCTCGTTTACAGATGAGGAGACAAGACTGAGCAGGAGAGCGCTGGGCCGTAGCACGTAGTAGGTGCTATGGGAGCCCCACAATCACTAGAGCCTTACATCAGGACTAGTCTGTACAAACGTGCGTAAAACTGATGCCTTGGGTCTCCTAGGGCTGCTGTGACATATGACCATAAATTTCATGGCTTAAAAAAACACAAATTTATCTTACAGTTCTGGAATTCAGACACCAGGAAGTAGGTCTTCTGTGGCTAAAATCAAGATGTCGGCAGGGCTGTGCATCCAAAGGATATACCACATTCCAGTAAACACATACAAAATGACTGAAGACAGGGTGCCTGGGTGGCTCAGTTGGTTAAGCGACTGCCTTCGGCTCAGGTCATGATCCTGGAGTCCCGGGATCGAGTCCCGCATCAGGCTCCCTGCTCAGCAGGGAGTCTGCTTCTCCCTCTCCCGCTCCCCCCTCTTGCGCTCTCTCTCTCAAATAAATAAAATCTTAAAAAAATAAAAAAATAAAACAAAAAATAAAACAAAATGACTGAAGACAGATTCTGATTGAGCTAATGAATGTCAAAGGACAGTGCTTACTGGGGGGAAAGAGGCAATGGTGTTTCATGGGGACGGATTTTCAGACCAGGAAGAGGGAAGTGTTCCTGAGACGGATGGTGGTGATGGTTGCAAAACAGTGTGAACATCCTTAATCCACTGGACTGTACACTTAAAAATGGTTAAAAGTAGTAAATTTCATGCTGTACATTTTACCACAATGATTTAAAAAAAGGAATGAAATACTGATATGTGCTACAACCATCATGCTCAGTGAAAGAAACTGGTCACATATTCTATGACTCCATTCATGTGAAATGTCCAAAACAAGGAAATCTGCAGACAGAAAGCAGATCAGTGAGTGCCTAAGGCTGGGCGGAACAGGGCTGGGGGCCAGGGTTTCCGTCTGAGATGAGAAAAATGTTCTAAAACTGACTGTGGGATGACAGCTGCCTATACCTGTGAAATCAGATACACACACTTTAAATGGGTGAACTGTATGGTATGTGAACCATATCCCAATAAAACACTTTTAAAAAAGAAAAATGACTTTTTTCCATAGGTAATGATTTTTTCTCAACCAATTAAAAACTTGAATGTGCGTCTACAGAAACTATGTTTCCCAGATGTAAATAGAAGTCATACTTTAGAATTTTTTCAACAGCTTACTTAAAAGCAATCATGAGTACCTG